ATGGTGCAGTGGAGACCTGTAAAGAGAGCTTTCATCGGTTTGACAAGTATCTCAACTTCTCTAACCCAAAAATATCTGAGAATTTTGATCCAAATGCTTGTGGGTGGGCATTTGGAATGAACATCTTCGACTTGAAGGAGTGGAAGAAGCGAGATATTACTGGGATATACCACCATTGGCAAGACATGGTAAGAAATTATTTAAGTGTCCATTTGAGCTACCTACAGTCTTTTTACTGGCATGCATTTCCCTCTATGTTGATCTAATATTTTTAATACAACATTAGATGAACTTAAGGAGCAGCATTTTCCTATTTGAGTCCTGAATTTTTCTTGGGCAATGTAAATGCTCAACTCTGCTTTTCCCTTTTTTTCCTTCCATTATCAACCAGACCTTAAAAAATTTATTGATTAAAAAAGAAAAAAACTGAAAATATGCCATTTCATGTACCAATACTGCTGAAAAATCTCAGGGCTTTGCTTTATCTGTTTCTTGGGTTTATACTTTCCTTGGTGTTCTACTGATATAGGAAATCTCTTGTGTAGAATGAGGACCGTACACTCTGGAAGCTTGGAACTCTGCCACCAGGACTGATAACATTCTACAACCTGACATATCCACTGGATCGGAGTTGGCACGTATTAGGACTTGGCTATGACCCTGCACTTAACCAAACAGAGATAGACAATGCAGCTGTCGTTCATTATAATGGGAACTACAAGCCATGGCTGGATCTGGCTGTGACCAAATACAAGTCCTATTGGTCCAGATACGTTATGTATGATAATCCTTATCTTCAACGGTGCAACATTAATGAATAGTCAGCATATGTTTGACGTATATTTCTCAATTCTACATTGTCATCTTTTTTTTTCCTCGTTACATTCTAAAGTATAAATGGGTCTTTCATTACTTTAAATTATCTTTCCTTCATTCTGTTCATGGCATCAATGCCATTGCTAACGTGGGATACGCATCCGGAGAAATTGTGTTGTGGCCTCAAAGATGGAGAGGTCAAAACCCGTTCAGATGGTCCAAACGGATATTCCACTTTCCTTGGTTGTGCTGCTTATCTCTATATGTTTCAGGAAACCTGCCGTGGACATGCCCTGATTCTTTCACTATTATTCCTATTCCAATATATGAATTACCAACCATTCTAGAATCTAGAATAGAAAGAGAGGTTGGCTGCATTCCATTCGCTAGTAGCATGAGACCATTTGTTCCGGAGGCGCCTATTTCTGAACTAGAGACCTCCACCATCTTGAACCTGACCCCTCACGTTATTCAAACACCAGGGATGCGTCCTCTAGCCATTCTTTCCAATTCAAGATTCCCTAACTGGAATATGATGATTAAACAGTCATCCTTCCACGGGCAGTGGCAAGAGGTACTTTCTCAATATTATGAAATGAGGACGGCAGGGTTTCAACTATTAGACCATTCTGTGTTACCTGCCATTCTCAAAGCCTGTGCAAAACTTCAATCCTTGAAGCAAGGCAAGTCAGTGCATGCATATATGATCAAACAGGGTTTAAAATCATCCACTTCTATTGCCAATTCCACCATGGACTTTTACGTGAAATGTGGAGCCATGGATTCTGCTCTAGGGATTTTTTATTGCGCAAGGAACAGGGATTCAGTTTCTTGGAATATAATAATCCATGGATACCTAGAGCAAGGTGCATTTGAGGAAGGGTTATGTTTGTTTAGACAAGCTAGGGTAGCAGCCTTTGTGCCCATTATCTCCACTATTCTGCTTATACTTCAAGCTTGCCGAAGTCTCAGCATCCAAGCAGGCTTAACCATTCACGCTTTCATAATCCGGAGTGCTTTCTCTACTGTTGCTTCGGTTCAGAATTCCCTGTTGAACATGTATGTGGATTTCGCAAATATGGATTACGCACAACAACTGTTCGATGAAATGCCTGAGAAAGATGTAATCTCTTGGAGTGTGATCATTGGGGGTTATGCAAAATGTGGAGGAACTGGCGTTGCAATACGGTTGTTCCGAGACATGATATCTGGGTTCGAGGTCAAACCAGATGGGCTTATCATGGTAAACTTTCTTAAAGCCTGTGCCAATGCTGGGGACATTGTTCTGGGAAGAGTAGCTCATGGTCACGTGATCAATAGAGGTTTAAACATTGATTCCTTTGTAGCAAATTCTCTGGTTGACATGTACTCCAAGTGTGAAGACATCGACTCTGCTTTTAAAGTCTTCCATGAGATCCCCAATAGGAACATCGTTTCTTGGAATTCCATGTTGTCGGGATTTGTTCATAATATGCAGCACTTAGAAGCCTTAGTTCTGTTTGATTCAATGGGGGAAGCTGGAATTGAGGCTGATGAGGTGACTCTGGTAAATCTTCTTCAAGTGTGTAAAAACCTTACTTGCACAGTTAAGTGCAAGTCCATCCATTCGACGATAATCCGGAGAGGGTATGAAGTGAATGAGTTGGTGTTGAATTCTTTAATTGATGCTTATGCCAAGTGCGGTATGGTTGAGCTTGCCTGGAAGTTATTTGGACGAATGAAGAGAAGGGATATGGTCTCATGGAGCACAATGATTGCAGGGTTCGCACATTGCGGCATGCCCGACGAAGCAATAGCGACCTTCCAAGAGATGAATCGGGCACAGGAGAGGCCAAATGCGGTTACACTGCTGTCTCTCTTGGAGGCTTGCTCGGTTGCAGCTGAACTAAGAAGGTCAAAGTGGGCCCATGGGTTTGCAATTAGGAGAGAATTGGCAACAGAAGTGGCCGTCGGAACCGCCATACTAGATATGTATGCAAAGTGTGGGGCAATGGATGCCTCACGAAGAGTGTTTGACCGAATGCCGAAGAGAAATATTCTAACGTGGAGTGCGATGATTGCGGCATATGGTATGAATGGCCGTGCGCATGATGCACTTGCTTTGCTTGCCGAGATGGAAGTGCATGGACTTAAACCAAATGCAATCACCATCCTTTCAGCGTTGACAGCATGTAGCCATGGAGGATTAGTTGAGGAGGGGCTCTCTTGTTTCAGAAGGATGGTTGCAGATCATGGTTTGGAGCCTGGTTTGGAGCATTACTCGTGCATCGTGGACATGTTGGGCCGGGCAGGGAAGCTTGACTGTGCAGCTGATTTGATCAAGAGAATGCCGGAAGGGGGGGTCAAGGCCGGAGCAAGTGCTTGGGGTGCACTCTTGAGTGCATGTAGGAATCATGGGAACAGCGAACTTGGTGAAGGAGCTGCATCTCGTGTCCTTGAATTGGAGCCTTCAAATTCCGCTGGATATCTGCTGGCCTCAAGCATGTATGCTGCGGGCGGGATCTGGGATGAGGTAGCGAGAATGAGGTGTCTGATGAAGGAAAGGGGTCTAAAGGTGGTCGCTGGTTACAGCTTGGTGCATGTAGAAGACAGAACATGCAGATTTGTTGCAAGAGACGTGTCCCACCCACAGGCTGAGGAGATACATGCCACGGTTCTACAGTTGCATAAGTGCATGAAAATGGATGAAAGAAAGCACTGAGGAAATGAGCAGGAAGCTATACCCCACTACCTGCGATTAGGGTTCACATATGAGCAGGGGATTGAAGCCCACCTGGACCCTGGTGTCAATTAGACCGGATTTGGTCCAATTCAATCCGGTCTAATATGAGTCCTTTACAAATGGACCAGGTCCAATCCAGTCTGATGAATAGTTTGGACCATTTTGGACCGGTCCAATTCAATGTCTGGACCAATCCAAACCTGGTCCATTGATACCTGTGTTCTTATTTTCTATCAATGGACCAGATATTAGTTCAATCTGACCAAGTCCAATATAAATACATTATAGATGGACTAGGTCCAATCAATCCATTAAATACTTTGATCCATTAAGTCTGGACTGGTTCAATTCAATATAATCAATATGTTTTATTGGTCTACCCAATCCATGAAACTGATTCTGATTTGGATGGATCCAACCCAAAACCAGTCCATTGACACCCTTACCCACTAATATAATGACTCCGGATCTCCTGCCCATGAGAACTCTGCCCACGCCTACCCACAATATACTACCCCGTGAAGCCTTTGACTTTTTCTAGTGATTGTCTTCCAAATATTCCTCGTTAGATTGGTTGGTTGGAAAAGGTTTACGTAGAAAAGAGAGTAATAGAACTTTGAGGATTTCCTCTGTCTGGGAGTTTGGATGGTTAGACCATCTTATAAGGATGGTGTCTGTGAAGCCATATGCTTAAAAATGAAAATCATACGCTCATCTTTTGTTTTTTAACCAAGTTTTGCAGTATTGGGATTTTGCAGTTTTAACAGAGAAGATTAGTATCATCTCTAGTTGCATGCCCTTCAGCCTTGTTCTTATTTTTCTTAGACAAGCAAGCATAAAATCAACCTAATTTTAATTTTACTTTTTGTTCTTTTCTTCTGTTTTCTTACGCTATTTTATTGTGAAAGATTTTCTTTTAGGAGAGAGCTAAGCTAGTTTTACTTCTTCACTGTTTTTCTACCTCTGAGGAAAGAAAACCAATTTGATTTTCCTATTTGCCAAACTGAAAAATGGCGTTCTTTTAGATTTTCTTTCTTCCATTTTCTTTGCAACCAAACACCATGGTTTTCTCTTTCCAAGTTAAATTTGCGATAAATCCCCTTTTGGTTACTACGGAATAGAAAAAAGGAAATGATTTTCTTCTAAAACAGCTCGGTTGTAAAAATTGTCACATAAATGTGAATATGTACATTTTTTATAATGCCAGCTGGTAAAGCCTGCGATTGGGGTTTCCTGGGGCCCAACCCACCTTCAGCCTAGAGCTGTTTTCACTTTCCAGTAGGGCATCGCCACTCCTTGCTTGATTCCCTTTAAAATTCAACTAAATAAATAAACAAATAAAAGAAAAAAAAGGTTTGTATCTTTTCTCTCTTTTTTTGGGTAAGGCTGCTTTTGGCAACAATGCAAAGGGAGTGTAAATCCCGGTTCAGGGTAAACTTGCATTCTGGTTCACTTTTGCCTGTGTTTGGCAATATTATATTTATGCATTGGCAAATGACAGACCAATGCATATTTACATTGATAATACGATGTAAAAGTACATCAATAAAAAAGAAGTAAATTTGCATTCAAGTGGGCTTTTGATTAAAAAAAAAGGCATATGCTTTATTGGAATTCATGTTTGCATCTATTACAGCTAAAAGTCTGTTTGGTAAGAAAGTAAATTTGTTAGTGCAAAACTAACCCAATTTTGCAATTTATATAAACCGTTTTACACTACATATTTGCATTCACACTTATTTGCATTGTTTCCTAACGCAGCATAAAGATTATTTCATTAACCAATGAACATCATAAAGAATCGGGATCTCCTGCTCACAAGAATCCTAATGGTAACATGGAGCATGTTTAACACTGAAGATGTTTCCAATGTACAGCTGTAGTGTTCTATGGATAGGTATAGGTAGGATCGTTGTGGGTAGGAGATATGAGCTTGAAAATAAGCATAAGGAATAAAACAGAACAAACAACAAATACCAAAAAGCATTAAGAAACAAACTAAAAGGTTAAAGCCCTGTTTGGATAGACTTTTATAAAGTACTTTTGAAAGTATAAAAGTACAAAAAATAGACATAGTGTTTGTATTATATACTTTACATTTTTTTTCTTTTATACTTTTAAAAGTATGAAAAACCCCAAAAGTACCAAGCAAGCTTTTTAAACTTCATGCTTTTGGCAAAACAGTACTTTTGTTTTCGTGTGACCACCCTTTGATAAAACTCTCGACCCTACCTCTGTTTTCCGTTACTAGAGTCGAACCGTGGTCGCTAGTCTTAGACCGCAGAACCACTAGAAACCATCACCAAAAGTACAAATGGATGTGCTTTTGCTAAACAAAAAAAAATGGTACTTTTGTTTTGAAAATGCATACCTTTTAAAATTTTTTACCCAGTTTTCAAAACAAAAATACCAAAGTAAAAGTATTTTATGTATTTTAATAATTTTATACTTTGGTAATTTTAAAAGTACAAAAGTAAGTCTATCTAAACAACACCTAAGAGAACTATTGCACCCTACAACTAAGCAGCTATAACAACCACTAATTAAAAAGTTAATAATTAATAATTCTACTAATTAAAAATTAATAAATTAACAATTAATTAAATCTACATGGAAACTTACACTTTTAAATCCATACATAATAAATTAATTTATTAATAATTCTAATAACATAAAAACTTACACTTTTAAATTCTACATGGAAAAATAGTGTTTTCATCTAGGTGGTGGTAAGAAATTAAACCATTTTTTATCAAATGGGTCAATTCATGTTGCCACAATTAAACAATAAAATTTGAAAAATAGATAAAATGTAAAAAGAAATATAAAAATTAAAGAAAAAAATGGAAACATTTTTAGCATCATATATTTGACATATTAAACAATAATAAGGGTGTGGAACTTTCTTTTTTACTAAACTATCCCTATATGCGAATTTAGTCCTTTAATTGTGAGGGGTCAATTGGGTGAATCCATTATGTCATAGTTAAATAATAAAATATTTAAAATAGAAAAAAAATCACAAAGTATAAAAAATGGGCCATTTCTTTGATATTTTTTATTAATCATATTAAATAGTTGTAAAGAATAATTATTTTTATTGATAATGGAAATGAAATACAAATTTTAAAACCAACCAAAAAAATGAAAGTGATTTCCTATTTGGTTAGGATCAACAGTTCAACTTTTAGGTCAAATGTGTCAATATTTAATGTCATAATAAAATAATAAAAAATTAAGAAAAAGATAAACTGAAAAATAAAAAATACATAAATTTTGCAATAAAAACATTTGGGTGCATCTCTAATATTGTATATTCATCATATTAAAAAAAAAACAAGTGTGATAAATAAGAATTATTTTGATACATATGGAAATATAAAAATTGTCAAAACTGTAATTTGAATTTATTCCCTTTATAATTGTAAGGGCAACAAATGTAATTTGAACTATAATTTTTCACCTCATTCAAACCCCTCACATTAAGTCATATATTTGAGGTGCTAACGTCTATTCTCTCTTATTAAGTCCTATATTTAAGTTATTTTTTCACTAATAAATGCTACTAATTAGATATATGTCCAATAATTTTAAGAATATAAAACCATAATCCAATTGATAACTAAGCAATTCAACAATCCAAATAAAATTGATCAACCCATGAAGTCATAGTTGGATAATCAAATTTTTAAATAGAAATAAATATAAAAAATTACAAAATATAGAAAACATTAAGACACATTTATAATATTTTTTATTAATCAAATTAAAAAGTAAGAGTAATAAACAAGAATTAGTTTTATTGATGTTGAAAATGAAATATATAATATAAAACCAGTCAAAAATTAAATTATTTTTCTGTTGGACGGAGATCAATAGTTCAACTTTTGGGTCAAATGTGTTAACCTTTAATGTCATAATTAAATTATAAAAAATAATGAAATATAAAAACACAAAAAAAATGAAACAAAATAGATAACTTTTACAAAAAAAAAATGAATATTTGGACACATGTGTAATATCATATATCTATCATATTAAACAAAGTTTGTGTACACATATAGAAATAAAAAAATACAAAAAAAATTGAACACATCTATAATTCTAAATTTATACTACTACTAAAAACATGAATAATGAATAAGATTATAGAACTTTCTTTTAACTAAAATTACACCATTTTTTGAATTTAATCTCTATTTAATTGTGAGGTTTAAAATGTAATTTCAACTATTACTTTTCACATCATTCAATTTCCTCTTTTTAAATCTTACATTTTTTTATAAATGAACAAAAAAGATACACTATGAAGATAAAACATTACAAAAAAAGAGTCCAACCAAGCAGCTAGGCATATTAATGGTACCTAAAACTTTGCAGCCCAATATGAAGTGTTTACATAATCAAATTTGGATTTTGCAATGTTCATTCAATTAATATAATAAAAAAATAAAAAATACATATATAAAAACAAAAAAAACATGATTTTTAAAAAAAAAATGGATACATTATTACCATCATTATGATCATCTAGAATTGCCATGTGCAAAGCACATGCATACTTACTAATAAAATAGAAAAGGCATAATGGAACTTATCAATGAACGTTTTTCAAATCCAAAATGCAGAAGAGATGTGGAAACATTGTCGAGATCTGAGAATTGCAATTAATAGGAGGGTTGAGTCATGCCACTTTGTCACTCTCCTTAAAACCGCATTTTTCCTTACGGCGTAGCTAGGTGAATGCAAATCGGTCGCCAAGACAAAACAGCCAACAGGCTACGGGTAAGCGTGCATTCGCTTACCAGATCTTCGTGAACCACCAAAGGTAATGCTTAGGAAAGATGAATGGCAAAGAAGATAAAAACTATATTGTGTGAGTTTTGTATTACTAGGTCAACCAACACTCTTTATGTAGTGCTTTTAGTCACTTGAACATACATAGAGTTGTCTGTTCATAGACAGAGAGATGTGTCACTCTAGAACAAGCACCAGCTTGAAGAGACGCAAGCATAAGAGAAAGAAAATGTTTAAAAAAAAATTAAGTTTAAGTTCAAACCAAACGGCGGTTAAGAAACAATAATCAATGAGAAAAAATGATAGGGTGTGGCATGCATGTACCACAACCACGCTCCGACACG